GGGATTACAGGAGTGCACCGCCACACCCGGCCTCCTTTCCAAGTTTTAAAGAGAAAATTTCAACTGAAGTAGATCGAGTGGGGCTGCTGGCCATATGGGTGATGGACAGTCGATACTGGGGTGGAGGGTCACACGCAAGGGCTGTGAAGTCATTCTCAGAGACAGGAGAGCCCCAGGCTGAGTCCTGAGCCGAAACTTAGTTCTGTCCCCGGGCTTGCTGCCCTCCCACCCCCACCCTGGAGGTTTCTGTGCAGCAAATACAGCTCAATAAATTCCTTTGTTCCACAGGTGGCCCAGCTCAGGTAACCAGGCTGACGGCCCATCTCCCTGGGCTTTTCTGCAGTAGCTCAGGAGTATCAGGAAGCCAACCCCAACCTTGGAGGACCTCTGAGAGTCCAGCACCCACCAGCAAGAAAGGGTATATATTAGTGTCCTGTGACTGCTGTAAGTCACAAACTGAGTGGCTGAAGATAACAGAAATTTGTTTTCACAGTTCTGGAGGCCAGAAATCCGAAATGAAGGGATTGGTAGGGCATTGATCCCTCTGCAGCACTTGGGAAGGATCCTTCCTTGCCTCTCTCAGCTTCTCACTGCCCCAGGTCTCTCTCTCTCTCTGCTTGTGGCCACAACACTCCACAATCTCTGTCTTCTTCCCATGCTTTTCCACTGTGTCTGTCTCACAATTCTATTTTTCTCTTCTTAGGCAAGCACTCTGCCACTCAGCTATACCGCAGCCCTTTATTTTTTATTATGAGACAGGGTTTCACTAAGTTGCCCAGGCTGCCTCAAACTCGCCGTCCTCCTGCCCCTGCCTCCTGAGTGGCTGGGTTCTAGGCATATACCACCATACCTGCCCATTTTTCTCTTACAAGTATTATAGACAGCTAAGTTAGGTAGAAATAGAGGCATTGTGAATGTTACCCTTATCCAAAATATACTAATAAAGATTTTGCTTCAAATAAAGAAATATAGGCAGTCAGACAGGGACAGGCCCTTGAGGGAATCGGTGCAGAAGATGAGAAAACATTACAGCTGACTAGAGGCACATCTGTTGAAGGCCAGGCTTCAAGATAAAGACAAAATGGCCAGGCCTATATGCCTCCCTGAGGGATAAGCAATAAATTAAAGACTATGCCTGGTCCAATAAAGTCTAGTGCCCATGTGAGTGACCAGGACCTCTTGATCCATCCCTTCCTAAAAAGGTCTCTGTTCTTTCCATATACACATGCTGTGTGACCTGCTCCCCCATTGGTCAATATTACCTAAGTGGCTAAACTTACAATCTTATTGGTTAGTCAGAGTTTTGATTCACGTAGTGCCCACCTCATGATTTTGCTCTGTAAAACTTAACTCCGAGGGCTCCGGGTTTAGCTCCGTGGCACCATGCCTGCCTTGAAAGCGCAAGGTGCTGGGTTCAATCCCCTTTACAAAAAAAAAAACTTGCTCTGAGAAGTAGGGTCCATGGCAACCTACTTTCAGGTCCCCTCCCCAGGAACTCTCACATTTTTCCTACTCTTAACCACTGTTGTTCTTTAGAATTCATTCTTCCATTTTGAGGAACGTCAACTCTGTATCCGACATCTAGCAGGTTAAGAGTTCTATTGTTCCCCGTATTTCACAAGGATATCTGTCCTTAGTTGTGGATCCTGTCAATCCAAATTGATCTCATCTTGAGATCCTTCACTTAATGGCATTTGTAAAGATCCCCAGGTTCCACTTGTCATTTATGGGGCCATCATCTGATCCATATAAGCAGTGTCCTCTACCCTGTGGTGCTGACTCAACTCCTTTCCGGTCTTCCCAGAACTTACAGTATTCTCGGTTCTGTCCCTTATTGACCTGCGGTATTAGGTGACCCTGGTACTCTTACGCAGGAGCTGATAAACATCAGACTTTAATATAGCTTACTGGCCCCGAAAGAAGATAAAAGGATTGTCTTTTTCCCTTTTCTGATTTCTGGTTAAATTCCTACCTGCGTCCCCACCCTCCTTTAAACTGCACAGCTGCAGTCTGCTAACAAGTGAAGAGGAGTAGACAATGAACGTGTCCTCTTAAAGATAGCACTAACCAGGGAGCCCCACCCTCAGAATCTGGGAGCTACAAGTGCTGCTGGTTGAAAGCTGATGATCACAGCCGATAATAAAGTTAATTGTTACCCAGGTAGTGTCTTATGGTTTACAAGTGAAACTTCTTTTATGCTCTTGACAAAATAGTGACCCCCAGAGTGTGGATGTGTCCTCTAGAAAGTACATGGGACAGCCCTGGAGGTAGGTAGTAGGCCCAGAGACACCTGTGGGTGGGCACTTTGTGACTTGCCCAGAAAGGCCCTGGGGTGGAAATCCAGCCTGCAGCCTTAAGGGTAAAGGGCACAGGTACCCAGACAGGAGGACAGTGAAGGAGAGGGTGGAGGGTAATCAGGTCCTGATGTCCAACCCCCTCCGGATGGTAGCTCCAGGGTGATTCGGGGAGGCTGAGCAGGGGAGGAGGTCAGGCTTGCTGCCTGCTGGGAATAGCACCCTGACACCTGAGAAACCAGGTAGGGAGCCCTTTGGAAGTCAAGGTCTGGATTTGAGCAGACTGGACCTCTTCATGTGTACTTGGCCAAGCCCTTTACTGCAGCTGTGATGGGGTCATGAGCTCCTGGGAAGTATAAGTCCTTTAGATCTTGTCCAAACCTGTGGCAGGCGGGGTTCCCGGGGACCAGCTTCCCCTGTGAAACTGGGCCCTTGGGCTCCTCCGGGGTAGTGAGTGCTGCCTCTCTCGGGGATCCGGCTGTGTACCCCATGCCTCGTACAGTAGCTCTCCTCCCCAGTCACTGGCCCACACCTTTCCCCTCTAAATGGAGTGAAGTAACTCCCACACCTTTTTTGTTGTACCAGTGATCTAACTCGGGACCTTGCACTTGTGAAGCAGGCATGAAGCCACTGAGCTAAATCCCCGGTCCTTCTATACCTCTTAACTTGAGCCTCCCAGCCCTCTGTTCTGCCAGAGGGAACAAAGTCATTTTGGCCTTTACAGTGTGGACTACGGTAAGGCCCAGCAGCCCCAGCCTCCCTTTCCTCTTAGGGTAGTATTTTGGGGAAAGTTCCCCTCCCCCATCTCTTACGCTGCTTGTGGGATGGGGTGTGGAGATTGTCAGGGAAGTGTTAAAGTGCCTTTGAGAGGGTGACCGCACCTCTCGGTGTCAATGGCATTCCAGTCCCAATTAGGTCTTAGCTTTAACCCTTTGATAGCCAAGATCCTAGTCCAGGTGAATCAGCAGAACCTAGGAGAGAGTCTAGAGCCATCCACCTTGAGGTATTTTCTCACTTTTGTTCTCCCCCAGGCCTTAGTGATTGGTGCTTTGTTTTTTCTGAGAGGAAGAAGCCTGGTGTGGCACAAGTCATAATTCTAGCACTCTGGGAGGCTGAGACAGGAGGATTGCAATTTAGTGACTTAGGGAGACCCTGTCTCAAATTTTTACGAAAGGGATGGGAAATGTAGTTCTATGGAAAGGCCCTGCATTTAATCATCAATATACATCCCTCCCCACCCTACCAGGAAAAAAGAGAAAGTGTGGGAGATGCATGTGCCATAGGAGAGCAAGTCCAGTAGAGATTTCTCACAAGGAGTGGCCCATGTCCTCCGAGTCCCCGTCTCCCTTGTGGCTGGCTGGTCCTTGGCAGAGTGGGCGCTCCTTTGCTTCAGCAGGGAATAGTTGGAGTGTGTGCAGCCTCCCCACTCCTTTACCATGTTCAGGGAGCTGGGGAGCATCGAGGCAGGACCTGACTACAAGCTGACCAACTGTCTCACTGTTCAAAACTGGGACTGTCCCGGGTCAACTGGGGTGTGTTGGGCCCCCAGGACCCAAGGCAAGTGTGGGGGGGGTTTCTGCTGGGCCCTGGGAAGAGAAAAGGCCCTGCCCCTTTGCTGGGGCCCCAGGAAGTGGGTGGGGGGCCCTTCGGAGACCAAGGCTTTTGCTGCCAACTGACACCTGCCCAAACCTGTGTGGCTGGATTCCTGGCAGCCCCTGGAAGGCAAGAGAGAGCCCCCTGACAGGCTAGTTTCTGTTTGCTCTTCCTTACAGTCATCCCCTTGCCTCCACCCCTATGAAGTCTACACCATAGGGACACTGATTTGGACACCACAGAGGGTTGAACTGGCCACTACTGCCAACCCCCATCCATACCCTGCCACTGTAGAGAAGGTGCCTCCACCTCCTCTGGCCTCAGTGGGGCCACCAGACCGGCTGTCCACAGGGAGGAGCCTCTCCCTGTGGCGAGGCTGGGCAGGGTGGTGGGGTATACCCGAATCCACCCCATTTTGGAGACCAGCTGAGTGGTGCTTTTTCATTCAGGGAAGGTTGTAAAGCTTTGTGGGGTCATAGACCCCTTTGCCAATCTGATGAAAACATAAGCATCTCTTCCCCAAAATACTAAAACCTTTACCCAAAAGTGATGCTTACACTTCTGCTTCTAAGCCCAAACAACTTGTTTTTATTTTGAATAGTAGGGATCGAAGCCAGGACCTTTGTAACTGAGCTACGTAGCCAGCCCCTTTTTTATCTGTATATGTCTATGTGCTTGTGTGTGTTTGTTTGTTTAATTTGTTATTTGTTTTTTTGGTACCAGGGATGAAACTCGGGTCTTTGTGCTTGCAAGGCAGGTGGCACAACCACCTGGGGGCTAAATCCCTGGCCCTGTTTGTTTGTTTGTTTGTTTGAGAAAGGGTCTCACTGTGTAGTTCAGGCTGGTCTTGGACTCACTCTGTAGCCCAGGCTGTCCTTGAATATACCCAGCTTTATATGTTTACTTTTTGAAACAGGGCCTTGGCCTTACTTAGTCAATAAATATCCCAGGTTGGGGATATTTGGCTGGGCATGGTGGTGCACACCTGTAATCCCAGTACTTGGAGGCTGAGGCAGGAGGATCACTTCAAGTTCAAGACCAGCCTGGGCTACATAGTGAGCCCTTGTCTCAATCAATAAATAATAATTTCCCAGGCTGGGGTCAAACGTGCAATCCTCCTGCCTCAGCTTCCCAGAGTGCTGAGATTATAGGTTTGTACCATCTCACCTGCCTCAAATCTGAACAATACTTTAAATTAGAACCCTTTATAATAAAGTCCCAAAATGTACCTACCCCCCAAGCTGAGGGGGCACTCCCAGCTCTGTCCCCACTGGGGCTTCTGGTGCCAGGGTCCACTCTAGGTTCACCCCCAGCTCTCCCTTCCTTAGAGGAGATGTAGAGGTGAGAGGCTGTCCTGATGAGGGCCGCTGTGGCTTCCAGAATCCTCATGCACCCCCTTCGGAAGTGTGTGAGTGGGAGAGATTTTCCTCAGTGTCTTTAGGAGTTCTTAGGAGGGGTTGGGGAGTTTGTGAAGCTCCCAGAATGAGCGGCTCCCCGTGTGTTGTGGGATTTGTTCCCACAGAGAACGTGGGTCCCTTAAGGTTTCTCAGGTGGGTCTTTGACCCAAGAGGATTAAGGAGCTTGACCTTGCATGATCCGTGTGGGTCCCAGGGTGCCTTCCACAAAGTGAGTCACAGTTCTGAGGGGCTCTTTTCTGTGTTGGAAGGCACCCTCCAGACGCCTGGGTGCTCTAGGCCTCCCTCCCTGCCCACTTCTGTGGTTTTGGCCTGGAGGGCCCGACTGGCTACTTCTGCACCGTGGCAGACAGTCAGGTTCTGGGCTCATTCCTGCCCTGGGGTCCCTTCAAAGCCCCACCATCTCCCTTTCTTCTCCATCCCCCTGTGCACCCCTCCACCTCAACAGTAGTCTCTTTATCTGCAGGCCTCTAGAGACCTTCAGTAATTCTGCTTAGCCCTCCAGTTTCGGCAGCAGGGGTAGGGGGCACGCCGGAGCTGAGGTAGAAGTGTGGGAGGGGTAGTTTTCTAGGCCGTTGCCACGGCGATGCCACCTGAGTTGGGCCCAGGCACCTGTTGCCTGGGGAACTGTGCGGGCGGGGCCCTTCCCCTGGGAGCCACCTGGGCCACTGGGCTGAGGCAGGAGAAGGATCAGATTCCAGAAAGTGTTGGGGGGTGGCTGGCTGGATACCGTGGAGGACAGGGCACATTTGCATCATGAAATGGGGCAGAGGGATGGCCAAGGCCGGGGAAGGGTCAGTCCCAGGCTGTACCCTTGGCCCACCCTATCCCCAGCCAGTTACCCTCCGCCTTGTCCTCCGTCTTCCCATTCCTTTGTCTCTGGGTTCTGCAATGATGTTTGTCCTCCCGGTCCCACCTGCCTTCAGTACCATGCACCACTGACCTCCCCATTCCCCCCCACGACTTGCTGTGGTCCAATCCTGGCCTCCTACTGCTTGCTCTGCTCCTCCCTCGCTGGGGCCTTAAAACCCCGCCTGTAGCTGGAGCCTGCAGAGGCCCCAGGTGACACCACAGAAGGTTCACCGCTCTCCAGTGCGCCAGCTGGGAGGGAACAGCGCTCTCCTCAGGTCTGAAGGAGCCTTTTTGAGCTGGGCCCAGATGTGACTGCGGGGTGTCCAAAGGGTGACAGCCACTCATCAGATACAAGCCACTCAGCTGAGCAGGACCAAGGAACAGGACTGTGGTGAGTGAGCAGCAGGCACCAACCTGTGAGAGGCCCACACTTGTGAAGACTGTTCTGGGCGGAAGACAAAGGGTTCCCTTCCTCCTGGGCATCGAGGACCCCCCCAAACACATCCGAACCCCTGCAGAGTCAACCCTGCTGTCTGAGGCTGAGAAGACGGACCAGAAGGGCAGATGGCTTCAACTGGCCTTGAACTCCTGGGCATGACCCTGGCCGTGCTGGGCTGGCTGGGGACCCTGGTGTCCTGTGCGCTGCCTCTGTGGAAGGTGACCGCTTTCATTGGCAACAGCATCGTGGTGGCCCAGGTGGTATGGGAAGGGCTGTGGATGTCCTGCGTGGTGCAGAGCACTGGCCAGATGCAGTGCAAGGTGTACGACTCTCTGCTGGCCCTGCCCCAGGACCTGCAGGCGGCCCGTGCCCTGTGTATCGTAGCCCTCCTGCTGGCCCTACTTGGCCTACTGGTGGCCATCACGGGCGCCCAGTGCACCACGTGTGTGGAGGACGAGGGTGCCAAGGCCCGCATTGTGCTTACTGCAGGGGTCCTCCTCCTCCTCTCAGGCATCCTGGTGCTCATCCCTGTCTGCTGGACAGCCCACGGCATCATCCAGGACTTCTATAACCCGCTGGTGGCTGAGGCCCTCAAGCGGGAGCTGGGGGCCTCCCTCTACCTGGGCTGGGCGGCAGCTGCACTACTCATGCTGGGTGGGGGGCTCCTCTGCTGCACATGTCCCCCACCCCAGATGGAGCGGCCTCGTGGCCCCAGGCTGGGCTACTCCATTCCCTCCCGCTCTGGTGTATCTGGGCTGGACAAGAGGGACTATGTATAAAGTAGATTTCTTGGGGAGCCAGCATTTGAGCTTCAGTTCTACCTTTGTCCCCCCCACCCCCGAAATCCATTCTTGTAAAGCTGATAACCTGGCTCAGGGTCAGTCTCAGCTGGCCTGGCTAGGCCAACCCTCAGTAGTCCCCACCTCACTGAACCAGGGCCAAAGCTGTTGGGTACCCTTGTCCGTGCCTGTGTCCTCTGTAATGACTCTCTTCTGCTGTCCAGGACATGAGCTTTCCCCTGCCTTAGGAACCTGGGATCCACTGAAAGGATAGCGGCTCCTTGTCTCCAAAATAAGGAGCCAGACTTGTCCTGGAGCTGGTCCATTCTGGCCCAGCCAATACCTGCATCTAACACACCTGGGGCCAGGGATGGAGCTCAGCGGACGCTGTGCCGGCCTGGCAAGTGTAAGGTCCTGATTTCAATCCCTGGTATGAACAAGAAAATTCTTACGAGACTAAGACACCTGGGGCCAGGTTCTCTGGGAGCAGGCAGCCCACATGCCCTACCCCTGCAATGACAATAAAGAGAGCTTGTAATCAGGCTTCCACTGTTTGAGTTTTGTTTTGTTTGAGGCAGGGTCTCACTATATACTTCAAGCTGTCCTTGAACTCACTGTGCAGCCCTGGCTGGCTGTAACTCGTGATCCTCTTGATTCTATCTCTGGAGTACTGGGATCACAGGTGCACACCATGTTGGCCAGCTGGGCTTCTGTTTTGTGCTCAAGACCCCTGAGCACCCAGGCCCATGCCTGGCTTAGGTCCTACCCCAGGGCAAACTCACTTGGCCACGGGGTCTGAGCGAGGAGGGACCAAGGACAAGTGACCATGATGGACTTGAACACACATCCTCCTTTAGCCAGGCTGGGCACTCAGCCCTCAGCAAAACCAAAGACATATTAACAAAACATGCTTTATTGTGTGAGCAGAGCATGGAAATAAGTGTGCAGGGTTGGAGGTACTCATGGGGGTCTACAGCACAGCTGGGACCTGACTTGAGGGTCCATGGCGGCTGGGTACAGGAGTCGGAGGTTAGAGGAGAGGGTGGGCAGTTCTTGGTAACTCAATCATCAGCCCTTCCAGGAACGGGTCTGGCTGACCCCAACTTTAGGGACTTTCATTCCCCAGCAGCTGCAGCCTTTGCAAGTTCCATAGCTCCATCTTGGGTTCCAAGATGGTTATACTTAGAATGAAAAAATATCCAGAAATTCAGAGGATCACTTCTTTGGCTCCATTATTCAAAGATGAGAAGTGTCAATGTCAGAGACCAGGCGGGAGGCTGGGTTGGTTATCTTGGTTCCTGTCAAATAGATTTAACCCTCCCCCAATAAAAACAGCCCAAAGCAAAGCAAGGTAAGCAGCAATCCCAAAGCTGTCAGGTGTCACCATCTCTTGATGGCTCCACCTCAGGGCCAGTACTAATGGAGCCCTCAGCCCCCACCTGTATCAGACGTAATTCTTGGTGGGGTACTCAGAGGGCCCCCGAGAGGGAGAATGTGGGGCAGATGCTGAGTAGCGGGCCATGTAATGGCTGGAGCCTCGAGACCCTCCAGAGGGACAGGTGTAGCACAGTAGCCCCCCACCCAGTAGCAAAAGGCCTGAGGCAGCCCAGCCCAGGTAAAGGGAGGCTCCCAGTTCCCGCTTTTGGGCCTCGGCCACCAGGGGGTTGTAGAAGTCCTGGATGATGGTATGGGCTGTCCAGCAAACCGGGATCAGAGTCAGGACCCCCGAGATGACAAAGATGATCCCAGAGGTGAGTACCAGGCGGGCCTTAGAATCCTTGTCCTCCACACAGGTGGTGCACTTGGCCCCAGCAAGGTAGACCAGCAAACCCAGCAGGGCCACAAGCAGGGCGATGACGCAGAGGGCTCTTGCAGCCTGCAGGTCCTGGGGCAGGGCCAGCAGAGAGTCGTACACCTTGCACTGCATCTGGCCAGTGCTCTGCACCACGCAGGACATCCACAGCCCTTCCCATACCACCTGGGCCACCACGATGCTGTTGCCAATGAAAGCGGTCACCTTCCACATGGGCAGAGTACAGGACACCAGGGCTTTCATCCAGCCCAGCAATGTAAGGATGATCCCCAGTATTTGCAGACCAGCAGATGCCATGGCAAAGTTGATGGAGCTGTATTGTGTGGGAGGACAGAAGCAGATAAATGTTAAAGAGTTGCTTGGCATAGACCTCAGACTTGTGTGACCCCACACAGGCCACCAATAGCATGTACTCCAGGGCTGGGGATTTAGTTCAGTGGTGCCGCTGCCTGCCTGGCAAGTGCAAGGTCCCAAGCTCGATCCCTGGTACCAAAAAAAAAAGAGTTGGTCATTATGTCCTGTAATAGGGCCAGCCTATACTCCTTGAGCCTCATTTTCTCATATGCAAAGTAAACAATGCTTCCTTAGTTATGTGGTAGTCTCAGGCTTAGGACAGCGAATAAACTGATAATCCTGGCTGTTTGGGGTACAAATGACAAGCAAGAGAATAAAACCAATGCACATCCATGGCCTTTCCATGAACTAGGAAGAGTACATTTTATCATGCAACAAAGTAGCAAAAAGAGGATGGAAAGACTGCATTCCACATGGTCTGGCTTTAGCATGTTTCAGGCTCAAAATTTCTCATTCTCAGGGCTGACGATGTAGCTTAGTGGTTGAGGAACACTTGCCTAACATGTTCTAAGCCCTGAGTTCAACAAACAGCACTGCCCCCCCAAATACTTTTTCCCACCCCCAAAGGTCCAAATCCCTTGAATCAAACTGTTCATATCAGGCTACCATCCTGGTCATATCTGAGTCTGGCCCTCCACCACCCTCCCTAAACCGCCTCTTCCTTGACGCCCTTCAGTGGTCGCGTGGGTAGCCAGCCTGACCCTTAGGGCAAGAGAGGTTGGGGAGAGGGACAACAAAAGCTCTCATCCAGAAGAAATACCTTTTCCAAGGACACCCACCGACTGCCTCGGTCCACTCTTCAACATTCCCCTGGGTGCCACGGAGCAAGCATGTCCTCAAGCTCGGGGGCCATTTTCTTGTTTTAGATCAAAGGCCATGCTAGGGTCCTCTCAGGACACAACTCCCCTAAGAGAAACTAAAACCCAGGATCTGTCCAGTCCTCTACCACCACTCTGTCTGCACCTGTCCCTCAAGGCCCAAAGCCCACCCTGCTCAAAGCCTGCTGTGGCTCCCCATGACACAAAGTTCTGCAGGCAGGGCCTGGACCTAATTGTAGATCCTTCCCCGGAGGGCAAGTTTCAACCCCTTTCCCACTTGCAGTTCCTCCTAGGTGGCCGAGTTCAGGACCTCCGGGCAGATCCCAGTCTGATCCCAGGCGACCCTGCCCCCGCCTCCTTCCCTTTCCGTACCCCGAGGTCGGCCACTGCAGTCAGCTCGGTCCCTTCTGCCTCGGACTGGTCGAGGGGTCGGCTTCCGCAGGGGAGCCGGGAGGGGAGCCCCGCCCCAGAGAGGCGAAGCAGGTGGAGGAGGGGCACAAAGTTTTGGAGCCTTTGTCCTGGGAAGAGGGAGGGGCGTTTAAGGCTTCAAGAGCTGCCCAAGGGCCCGATCACCTCCGAGGTTCAGTTTAGCCCCTGCATAGACCGATGGCTGCTCGCAGGAGCCGCTCCGGCTCTCCACGGTGCCTCCAACCACGCCGCCGCGATCTCTGCACCTGGCCCTAGGAAGGTCTCTCCGGACCCCAACACGCACCCTTGCTGAAGACTCACCTGAAGTAGGAACCAAAGAGATTCGCTGGCCGAGTGAGGGGAGAGTGGTGGAGAGGGGGGTCTTAAAGGGGAGCTGACGTCACTGTTCCACCTCCCCTGGGGAGGGGCAGAGACCCCGGCCCCGTCCGCACGGGTGCGCGCATCCCGGCTTGGTCCGGAGAGTGGGGGCGCTCGCGACCGCGGCTGCTACACCTGTCAGAGACCCCGGCCCCGTCCGCACGGGTGCGCGCATCCCGGCTTGGTCCGGAGAGTGGGGGCGCTCGCGACCGCGGCTGCTACACCTGTCGCGCGCTGGGTTGCGAGCTCCTCGGCTGGCGACACTGCTGCCGCCACTTACTAATCAGCTTTGAGACCTCGGGAACTCACTCAATTTGGAGCCTCGGTTTTCAACTCCGCAACATAAGGACAAGCCTGCGTTTTAGTGCGTACTTCCTAAGGTACAAATTAAAGAGCATGTGATTTTTCTGTTGTTAGTGATGTAAGAAACCTGCAATTGAGCTGGGCGTGGTGGCGCACGCCTGGAATCCCAGCACTCGGGAGGTTGAGGCAGGAGGATTGCTGTGAGTTTGACGGCAGACTGGGCTACTACATAGTGAATTCAAAGCCAGCCTTAAACACAGCAAGACCCTGTCTCAAAAACCTGCAGTTAGGCCAGGCGTGGTCGCACACGCCTGTAATCTCGGCACTCGGAAGCTGAGGCAGGAGGATCAGAAATTCAAGTCCAGCCTGGGCAATTTGGTGATTTAGACAGATCCTGCCTCAAAAATAACAAATATAGGCTGGACATGGTGGCGCACACCGGTAATCCCAGCACTAGGGAGGCTGAGGCAGGAGGATCGCTGTGAGTTCGAGACCAGCCTGAGCTATATAGTGCGTTCCAGGTCAGTCTCAACTACATAGTGAGACCCTGCCTCAAAACAAAACAAAACAAAACAAAACAAACAAACAAAAACAAAACCCCCAAAGTTTGGGATGTAGCTCAGCGAAAAACCCCTGGGTTTATTCCCTAGTATCTTTATTTATTTATTTATTTATTTATTTATTTATTTATTTATTTATTTTTGGTACCGGGGATCGAACTCGGGTCATTGTGCTTGCGAGGCAGGTACCAGAACCACTGAGCTAAATCCCCGGCCCCCCAGTACCTTTAAAAGAAAAGAAAAGAAACCTCCAAGAGTTGCTTCTATCAGACCCTACTGTTCCACACCCAATGAACGTGAGCTGGGAAAGATAGGTCCAGATCCACTTTCCTGCGGGCCACAAAGCTCCCGCGCCGACCTCGCGTTGATCCAATGAGCAGACAT